TTCTGGTACCTAAGCAGGGTTGCCCTGTTTTTAGGCGAATACTCAAAAATATCTATCCAAACCGGAGACTTGTACAGGAGGACTGAGTGCAAAACGCTAATTAATAATCTGTTTCACGACTCCGTCGATCACATTAGCCAAATAAAATTTGTGAAAAATGAGCTGATTAAAATTGTTGCTGTAAAAGAGGCCAGAAAAAGATAATTTTGATGTTTAAAAATTCATTTTTTATTCGATATTTATCTAAAGCTTTTTTTTTAGGATAAATCTCTATATATTTATATTTTATTTTAAAATTAGTTTTATTGTATTCGTAAAAAAAATGTTTTGTATAAAATATATAATATGTTATACGAGTACACAGTTGTCCTAAGAAAATATTTTTATTGCTCTTACGAAAAAAAATGTTTAAGGCTTCGTGAAAAAATCTGCCAAGAGTCTCACAAAACTTCCTTTGGAGTTGAAAAAAATAAACTCGATTCAAGTAAAATTGATTTTACAGTTTATGTTTAAACTTATGTGCATGTCAGTCCCCTTTAACGATAGAGAAACTTCATATTCACTACTAATTACTATGTACTAAAATCAGTGGTGGTGAGGATGCGACTTTAAAAATAACACCAGTAGTCATAGGTATAAAAAAATTGTAAATATAAATTAAATATAATAAAAAAACCCAGCTCAGGGGGGTCGCGGCACAGTGGTGACGTGGCATAGTTGGATCAAGAATAATGATATCTGACAGTGATTAAAATCACTATAAAATAAAACGCTTTGATGCAAATCTTTAGATAGTGTTTAATTTTAAAAAAATTGGTGTTTTATTCCAAAAGCTACTTGATCTGCTGGTTCCTTAATATCTCGATTAAGATAAAGTATGTCGAATGAAAAAGGGTTTATTAAAAAATATTATTTCTCATAAAAAAATTGTGTGGATCCATAAACTTTTCAATAAGTTATAGCATTATAAAGTTAAATATAATATGAATAATAAAATCGAGAATTTTCACACGAAAATAGCATTCGGTAGCCATTTTCNTAAAGTAAAAAATGTAAATTATAAAATCGAGAATTTTCACACAAAAATAGCATTCGGTAGCCATTTTCACCATGAAGAAAAGTCCAGAGGTCAAATTTTTTTTTTTCAAATTAAAGTATATTACATTAGCTTTAATTTAAGATATATATAAAAGTGTCAGAAATTCCAGAACATTTTCAAAAGTTAAGTTGAAAAAGTTATACTTTCTACATGCATTTTTTATATTTGAACCCCACTCAAATATAGAGAAATGGTCCGATTTAAAAAAACAGTATGTCGAATAAAAGATAAATAAATACTACTTTTCATGAAAAAATTGTATTGATTCATACATTTTTTAAATAGTTATAGCATAATAAAATTAAAAATTTAAAATACAAAATCGAAAATTTCCACAGAAAAATAGCATTTGGTCGCCATTTTCACCGTGAAAATAAAATAAAGTCCGAAATTTTTTTTTTCATGATAATGTAAATTACATTAACTTTAATTTAAGATATAAATAAAAGTGTCAGACCTTCCGGAACATTGTCCAAAATTAAGTTGGAAAAATTAATTTTTTGTGAAAAAGTTGTCATTTTAAATCCCTCCCTGTAGGCAATATCATGCATCTATATAAAAAAAATTATATTGATTTGGTTATTTTTAAAAAAAGTTATGGCACTTTAAAGTAAAAAAAATTTCAAAAATAAGCGATTTTTTAAATTTGTAATTTTTTTGGAGCTTTCCCCATTTACGGGGAACGAGGGATTTTTTTCAATTTTTAAGGGTAATGTCTTCGACTAGANATTTCCCCCCATTTACGGGGAACGAGGGATTTTTTTCAATTTTTAAGGGTAATGTCTTCGACTAGATACGATTTGTGATCTTTTGACGTATCATTGAATGATATCGGATCGGTGAGAGTTGAGAAAAAGTGGTAAAAGAAACAAAAAAATTTTCAATTTTTAAGGGTAATGTCAAAAAAGACATTACCCTTAAAAATTGAAAAATTTTCCCTCGTTTCCCGCAAATGGGAGAAATATCCAAAAAAATTACAAATTTAAAAATCGGTAAATTTTGTCATTTTTTTCTTAAAACTTCCATAACTCTTTCAAAAATCAACAAATCAACATAATTTTTTTTTAAACTAAAACCTTAGATATTTTCCTTTCATTTGATATAATTTTTTTGAAAATTTAACACTTAACCTGCTCATCGGGGGGGATTTAAAATAGCAACTTTTTTACAAAAACTAACTTTTTCAACTTAATTTTTGAAAATGTTCCGGAAATACTGCGTCCTTTAAACATATATCAAATTAAAGCTTATTTTATGTACTACAAAATGAAAAAAAAAAATTTGTCCCGACACTTTTTTTTCTACATTTAAACGGCTGCCGTAGTTAAAAAAACACTATTTTTGTGTTAAAATTTTCGATTTTCAATTTTTAATTTTCAACTTAAAAGTGCTATAACTTTTCGAAAAATGTAATTATCAGCACAAATTTTTTTTTTCTAAATACATTATAAGTACATATTTCATTTGACATACTTTTTATTGAAATTGGACAATTTCCCTATATATAGGGGCGTTCAAAACTTGAAACTATTGTAAAAAACATA